AAATACTGCTGCACGAATTAATGGAGAATACAGTGAACACAAGCAGATTTATACGAGGAGTGAGGCAAGGATGTGTTATGCAACCAGACCTCTTTAAAGTGTACAGGGAAACAATCTTTAGAAACATAGAAGAATGTTCAGGACTCAAAGTAAAATGAGGAAATATTAGTAACATCAGATATGCCAGTGACACAGTTTTAATAGGAGACTCAGAAAAAGACCTTCAATCGCTTCTAGATATTTTTGTAACATAAAGAGAACGTAAATGATTTTTGTTGAATGTAAAGAAAACAGAATGCATGGTAATATAAAAAATCACTTATCTTATTTGTAATATCATTATCAAAAGGTGAAAGATCAAACATTGTCCATCAGTGTAAATATCAAGGATATATGATAACATTTGATGCCAAATTTTCCACAGAAATATAACGGAGAATTACAATGGCTGAGGCTAGTTTCCAATAAAATGAGCCTAATCCTGAAAAATAGAAAAATCTCAATTACTACCAAAATGAAAGTTCCGAAATGCTATGTATGGTCACTCTTCTATATGGTTGTGAATACTGGACAATCCCTAAAAAACAGTAAAAGCAACAGAAACGTGGATGTGGTCTCTTAGGAGACTGGTAAGAATATCGTGGTAGGAAAATAAATCAAATGAGATAGTGTTTGAAGAAACCCACGTTGGACGCTCAATGTTAAAAACAATCAGGAAACGACAAATGCAGTTTTTGGGACATCTGAATGGACACAAGGGTCTCCAACATCTAGCTCTCACTGGCAAAGTTGAAGGCAAACGAGGCAGGGGTAGGCCCAGAGCGACGTACTCATGGAACTTAAACAAAAGGGTAAAGGGGATAGATTAGGGGAAACGTAGCTTTTTTAGGAGTATCCAAGCAAAGTAATGACTGGTGAACCATGATCGCCGATGTCTGTGGCAGATCTGGCACTGGATGATTATGATGATGTGTTGGACACGCATCCCTGACACATGGTCTCGTGGTCGAGAGGTTACTGTGTCTGTCTCTCATTCAATTGGTTCCGGGTTCGAATCTGCATAGCAGAGAAATATTTTCCTCTCTAAAATGTTCTCCTTTTACA